TTTTTTAATGAGAAGTTTGTGGTGATGAAACTCCTTTCATTTCCCATTCAAAAGCTGTGGGATTAGCATCTATTCCCCTGAGAACATCAGAAAGTGTTGACAGACAGCAACACAACTCAGTGGAAGCCTAGCTTAGTTTTTTGGGTAATCTAGTGCAATCATTCTCAGATGGGAAAAATTCTTCCTCTCTTGTGAGTTTGGAAGGGAAAAGGCTTACCCTTTCAGATGGCTTGTTGGAAGGCAAACACTGCTAGGTCAAGAGGCTGAGTGAATTCCAGGTCATCCCTGTGGTGAACTGTGCCTGTGGATTTCCTCCTCCTTTTGTCTGTCCTCTCCCCCCACCCCATACACGTGCACAGCCATTTGCTCTTTATTGCAAGACAGGGCAGGGGGAGGAAGAAGGGACTGCCCAAGGACTTGTAGGGCAGGGCAGGGTGAAGTACTACTTTTTCATCTATAACGGGGGCAGAAGAGACAGTGTACTGTGAGTGATCTGTTTTTTCCTAATAGGACATAAAATAAGTGAAGTATAACCAGAGAATATCGATAATCTGGTTTTGAATCTTCTCCATATTAGAAAAGAACTAATCCCAGATTTACGCATTACCCTACTGATCATCTGACAACACATGCAATATAATCTAGTGATCACAAAAGAGTGGCATTCGGTGTTTTCATCTAAAGCACATGTGAAACTTCTTAATTTGAACAAACATACATATAAAATGTCATCACCCAGAATGGCTCTCTCCAAAATAATGGTAGTTTTGTGGGTATATATTACTCAAGAATAAGGAACTGAGTTATACAAAACTAAGCGATTGAATTGAGGCTTCTTTTTTAAGTGAGTCAGTTGTTCCACATGGTAAAGTTTTAAAGGAATATCAGGACTACTCTGTTTTACTATCTTATCTTAAAAAGTCCCTTTTGTAGAAGATAAGAGGTGGTATCATTATGAAATAGAAATGCTTGCTTAGCCAGGCATCAGAGCAATGTAACTTAGAATAAAACCGTACTTGCTAAAGCATTGACCCAGATATGCTTCAAATACTTTCAGTATCTTTTTATGCATGTGTTTTCTATTACTGAAAGGAAATTGATGCATTTTCTCATCTTATTTTCTGTACAAAGATCAAAATATGCTCAATACCTTTATTTGTGATTAGCACATATAATGACTGTTGATGTTATTCATCTTGACAGTAACTGTATCTTTCAGGAAGACTCTCTCAAGTTTTTATTCTCTAATTTTTTTAGAATTGATGAGTTTGAGCTTAAAAGCCAGAAAAACCCCAAACCCCACCAAACCAAAAAGGATGATATATTTCTCTAGCCAGACATATCTATTTAATTATAGAAAAAGATGAACCAAGAGGCATCACAAATTTCTTTATCAGTCTTTTCTGATGACTAAGTAGGTTTCTTACACAAGCTGGGGTGCTTAGTTAATAGACTGACAGCAGAAAAGGACCACAGGAAGGAAGAATATCTGTGCATCTAAACATCTGTTCCAATTTGCTTAAGCAGCTGACACCTCTAACAAGTAATGTGAATATTGAAATTTCTAGTATAACATTTTCCATTGATTTTTCTTCTAGGCTTGTGAGTCTTTACTATATATACATACACTGTCATTATCTTGTTTAAAGTATCAAAAAGGTGAAGCTCAATAAAGGTAAAGTCAGTGCTCGGGTCTGTCTTTATGGGAATTGAGAGAAAAGTCTTAGAGCACACTCAGGACTTGTATTTTTGGAAGCAGCCTGTGTGTCAGCACGCTTAGGGAGCTGTTTGTAATAGCCTAAAGCCAACTAACCTATTGTAATAAAATGCTGTTAATTTTCTCTTAGGCCTGACGTTGTTTTACTCAAAAGCGTAGGAAGTAATTAAGAAGGAAAATGTCTTTCATCATCAGAGGAACTGAGATGATGGTCATAAAAGGGCAAGAGTGGGTTGCAGTTTGGTAGAAGTCCTGATAGGATATGGATTTTCAATACTCACAGATCTCCATGTCAGCAAAAACCAGGCCATTACAGTTTTCTGTGACATTCATAACTAATTTAATGGCAGTCCTGATATAATATGCTATTTAAGCCATACTCATCTTGTAATTGAAGTCTAAGTTCAAATGGTGACTGTGGCAATCTATTTTTATTTCGCTTTTTGACTTCGTACTGTGTTACAAAGTCACTTACCCCTACAGATACATGATTCATAAAGAAGTGATTGGGGATTATTTAAAACTCAAATAAAACTATCAAAAAAGGAAAATATTTGCTATAACAGGTCATTCAGTATTATATTTTTTCCTCCAAAAGGGTATGTGTACTTTTGAAAGCTTTTTTGTTGTGAGTTATCACACACAGTATTTCAGATATAAGACAAAGCAACTAAACTTTTCAATTGAACATGAAATGGCCACGCTGTGCTTTTGTGCCTGCACAGCCATGGGGTATCGGTGACACTTGAAAGAACGTTACACATGCCAGAGAGGTCCCAGAAACTGTATAGTACTTTGGTATATAAAGGATTGCCTTTGGTGGCTTCCTTAAATAGCAATACTTTTCATTTTTTTTTTTTTTTTCAAATACAGAGCTCTTTTCTCTCTGAAGCTAATTTGCAGACTTATTTTGCAATTTTTGTTAGTTATAGTTTCATGTTGAGAGCTCCAGCCTTGCACCTTTCCGTATTTAATTATGAAATAATATATACCCAGGGAAATCAACACATACGTGAAATTAAAATAATGCCAAAAATTATTTGATTTTAATGACTGCATTGCCCACATTCAGTATTGCAGAATCATAATTTTCTTCTTGAATGTCATGTAATTAAAAGGTTGTTGCTGCTGGAATCCAAAATATTTGTGTCACCCTGTTCTCTATGACTATAATTCAGGAGCTGACAGGAGATAAGATAAAAGTCAATAAAAAGAGAATTATTTATTAAAAAGATCTAATGTTACAAGAACGGTACACAGGAACTATTATATTACTGTGTCTTCCACATTGTATATATCATTATATATAGCATATATACAGATTGTGTACAATATATCTAACATTTTCATATGGGCCATGACAGTATCTTTCTTCTGGTCTGCAAAACAAAGTTTCCTTCTAATTACTTTTTTCCAAACAGATCTTGTGGCATTATACAAAAATACAGTCTCCTCAGTGATTCTAGACTGCACTATTACAATCTTTTACATGAAAAAGGAAAGAACTTTCCTTTGCAACTAAAAAATATGTCATGGTAAGGAAACATCTTCTTCTACAAAGTAACGAATAGATAATACATAGGTACTTAAACATTTAAAACATGTTTATTAATATAGTTAAGATGCAAAATACATATTCTGTTCATGTTGAATATAAAACATACCCCTTTTTGTCCCTGCAATACAACTACATTACCTGATGGTATGTTCAGTATTTCTATCTGTATCTTGATACTAGAGATCGAGATATATCTAGATGCAGCTCTATCTCCTTATCAGACTTTCATTCTTCTTATAAAGCATAGCCATTTACTGTATTAAGAAAGTTGTTTGACCAAAACGCCACCAGGAGTGACTGTAGCCTTTTTGAATACTCTGAATTAAACTGCATTGGCAAGCAACTGTATAAAAAATAGAGGAAATTATGCTTAACTAATTTATAAAATAGCCATTTTGCTTTTTGGTTCATCACTTTATTCTTGTTTATTTTAACCTTTTGAATAACGATGGTTTGCTAGTGCATGTTCTCTGCACATTAGCAATGCTGCTATTTTACTTATGAGAGCAGGTAGTTATTTTCTATGAGTTTGCTCTATCAGAAAGGTACATTCCACATTCTGTTCTTTGATTTCAAAGGCTTTTCCACAAGTGGAGATATAGAAGGTCTCCTTCTGTCTGTATCTACAATCTATGCTTGGCTAGATATTCTGCCTTTGTTTTCCTAGCAACATGGTGACTAAGGAAATTTAAAGCATATTTTTTAAACAATTATTCAAAATATTAATGGGTAATAAAGATTTGAGATTAACCATCTCTGAAAAAATTTACTGATAAAATATTCAAACAAAAAAAAAATCAGTCATCAGTTAACTTTTTACCTACCAAGCACTTGAACTGTGTCGTGCTTTCTTGGCTACTGTTTTAAAGTTGCTAAGAAAGGGCACAGTTAGAGTGTACTACTTAAATGCCAAGTATTATTTTGCTAGTGAGCTGGCAAAATAATAAAATTTTAGACCCAGAACCTGTCAACCAAAATAGATTTGAATCAAAACTTTTAGAAGGTTGGACAGCTAGAAGAACTATGCTATTAGGACTTGCCTGATAAAGTCTTTTTACTTGATTTTTCCCAGGCAAGGGTATGTTCATCCTAGGCACAATTCCTAGATGTATGGTAGTAAAACATCCTCCCTCATAATACTGTGCACACCATAATCGTGGAAACACGCACACCATATACCCTGGAGATAATTTTGATTCAGGTTGCCAGTATGTGGAAAGGCCTTCCAATGTAGAAAAATTCTCCAAATTGTCTATTGAGTGAAAAATTTTTTGGCACAGAAAAAAGTGGGGATTAAAACTGGTAGTACACAGTCCCTACAAGAATAATCTCTAGTGAGCTATAGAAATAGAGCCAATTAGCTAAATAACTATAATGATGCTCAGTAGCACTTATCCAAGTATATTTTTTTCAGACACGGCATTCTCCAGAATATATCCTACTGGAGTCTGTATGTATGTGAATAATTACATTCCAAAAAATATTAGTGTTCTCTCCATAATATGCTTTCATATATACTTCAACTTGATTACCAAATGTATAAAGCAGAGAATGTTAGTAAAAACTGGACCCAAAGGAGAAAACGTTACAACTGAGAAGTGATTGGAAAAAGTAGTTTTATCTCTGTCCTTTGCTTAATTTGTCCACTTAGCAGCCTAGTGTGTATCGTGTTTAAATGTCCAGTGGATTTTTAATTGTCATATACATTAGGAATTGACTTTTAAATTTGCTATTGAAAATAAATATTTGATTCATTTGACATTAAATCATGTGGTATTTGATAAAAACCAAACCTTATTCGTTTTAAGTTTGTGTTTAATAATTTTCTGTTTACCTTGCAATAAAATAAATGGCTTCTCTGCTCCATTTTGCTACTTTCTGAATGTGCTGTCTAGTATTGTATTGACAATTCTTTTTGCTAATTAAATACATATTCATATATTTTCAGAACAAATTCTCTGTACTTTTGCAGTGGGCTGTGTACCTAAACTATATTTTTCTCTTTTGTCAGTAGGAACAACCAGTCCTAGGGGGTGCAAGAAAAGTATTCAACAAAGCTGTATCAAACTTTGTTCTATATTTAAAAAAGGATTTTTTTTCCAAACCAAACAGATGTACTGTACTAGACACCACTGTTTAAACACCTAATGATACATGACTGGGGTCACCAAAATCAAACATATTAAAAAAGTAAAGTACATTTGACATAAATTACCTTTGCTTACAAAAGTTTATTACATACAATCTGCATATTTTTGGGCCAAGAAGTGTCCCCTCTCCAGAGGACTTTACAAATAAAGAAGAGAAAAAAACCTGATGAATTATTGACCATGTCTCCAACACTCCTCTAAGTTTACCACAGGCATTTCTATGGGTCTTTAAGCATTAGCTTGGTTTTCTGATTTCTCCATGTACATAAAACTCCATCCCTTGGTGTCATCAAGCTAAAGGAAACAACTAACAACAACAACAAAGTCTGCAGTCTTCACCATGAGGTTGAAGGAACCATCAATGCCAAAAGCAATGTTACAGAGGACGAGGAAGTGGACAACACATGTAAGGTGGATTGAGCACTTGTTACTTTCCCTCCTGAAATGAAAAACAAAGTCATTAAGGAACAAATCATGAAAACAGTTCTCAGTACATTTAGGTACAATCACAAATGTTCTTACTGGAATGAGGAATGAAACTAGCCCTTGATCCTTGTCCAGAGGAAAAAGTGGTCTTTTGCCCAGTGGCCCAGTGGTGGTTTTAGATCACAGTAATCCCTTAAATAGTCATGCTAAGGGGAAATGTGCTATGGTCTGGTGGTGGCAACAGATTACAGGATGGGAAGGGAACCAGACTGGGTTTCTTTGGACCACAGTTGTCCTAAGTGGAACTGATCTGTTGTGCAGTCTAGTCAAAAATATCAGATTAGAGCGAATGAAAGATTTTGTGGCCTAGAGTTATGTCTCAAAAGTCACATGAAACAAGTATTCCATGGAGTAGGGGTTGATGTCTTCTGCATTCTGATGATAACACTGCAGAGATGAAATTTTAAGTCTAGATTAAAGTTTCAGTCTCAGACCTTTTGGATAGCACTCCTTAAGGACTAAAACCCAGTATTTCGTAGCATTGTACAGTGCTAGCAGAAAGTTAGAATTAAGATGCCTCGTGTTTAGGCAAAAGGCAATGTTATTTTCTGGTTGTTCTTGCCACTAAACCTTCCATTCCTTTCTTACCTGTGTAATATTGATACTTTAAACACTTTCAACATATTGCAGTAACTAAGGAAATAGAAGCTAGACATCAGAATTTACTTCATTATAACACATTAATACTGTAGTAAATTAATAATTTAATAAAGTAATATCTACTCTAGGGAGTCAATGGAACCTACAGGGAAATTCAGCTTATTCTGAAGCAGGCACATACACAGGGTTCAGCTATCTAAATGCATGCCATTTTAGCTGTACTAGATAGTACACTTCTGGCTGGTGGTCCAGAATGACGTGCATATCCTCTAAGACTCACATCAGATCTACCAGCTCCGTGCAAGTGTTTGGGATACCTTAGGATATCTCAAATGTACTTATGTGCTGATGTCTGAATATTTAAATTGAGATCAGCTGAACTGCTGTCTAGGCTCCACTATTGGTCTGTATGGATTACATCTCAGCTGAGTATAATGCTATTTGAAACACCTAGTGCATGTGTAGACGTCTACAGCTCAATTAGTTTTCCAGATTTATTGTAGAAAGGGAGAGGTTTCCTGTAAATCCTCTGCTTTGTTCATCAGCCTCACATGAATGCCTCAGATACTCTTGAGCATCTCAAAGCATCTGTAACATCTTTGTCGGTGCTGTTTAACATCTTTATTGGTGACATGGACAGTGAGATTGAGTGCACCCTCAGCAAGTTTGTTGACAAGCTGTGTGGTGTGGTCGACCCGTTGGAGGGAAAGGATGCCATCCAGAGGCACCTTGACAGGCTTGAGAGGTGCGCCCATACAAACCTGATGAAGTTCAATAAGGCCAAGCGCAATGTCCTGCATCTGGGTCAGGGCAATACCAAGCACAGATACAGGCTAGGCGGAGAATGGATTGAGAGCAGTCCTAGGGAGAAGGACTTGGGGGTGTTTGCTGACAAGAAACTCAACATGACCTGGCAATGTGCACCAAACATATCCTGGGCTGCATCAAAAGAAGTGTGGCCAACAGGTCGAGGGAGATGGTTCTCCCCTTCTACTCTGCTCTGACGAGATTCCACTCAGAGTACTGGGTCCAGCTCTATGGCCCCCATGTAAGAAAGATGAGGACATTTTGGAGTGAGTACAGAGGAAGGCCATGAAAATAATCAGAGGACTCGAGCACTTCCCCTATGAGGACAGACTGAGAGAGTTGGGGTTGTTCAGCCTGGAGAAGTCTCAGGGGAGACCTTAGAGCAGCCTTCCATACTTAAAGGGGGCCTACAAGAAAGCTGGAGAGGTACTTTTTACAAGGGCATGTAGTGATGGGAAAAGGGGTAATGGCTTTAAACTGAAAGAGGTTAGATGTAGATTAGATGTACAGAAGAAGTTCTTCAATGTCAGGGTGGTGAAACCCTGGAGCAGGTTGCTGAGTGAAGTTGTGGATGTCCCCTTCCTGGAAGTGTTCAAGACCAGGTTGGATGGGACTTTGAGCAACCTGCCCCATGGCATGGGGGATGGAACTAAATGTTCTTTAAGGTCCCTTCCAACTCAAACCGTTCTATGATTCTATGAAATGGCACTAGTTACCTTTGCTTCAGCATCGAACTGAAGGCTCTGATTAACAATTTTATCTAAAAGCTAGAGAATTGTGAGAACTTTTTTTTTTTTCAGATAGAGAACAATAGAGTTAATGAGCATTGCTGTAATCACCACTTCAAAATATAAGTGTAACCTTACCTGAAAAAGATGGAACTCTGATCTGGGGACTCGCAGTCCCATCCCCTCCTTCACTGACTGCACAGACCTCAATGATGTAGACACCAACATCAGGAAGAAGTACCACTGCAGAGGTTTTCTGTGTTTCTATAACTTGACTGTTGCTCTGGCCTTCTTGCCTAAGTAATACCTGTGATCAATGAAGAAGATAGTGGTCATAGTGGTCATTCGAGTTATATACCAGACATTTTGTGTAGGTAACACAGTTGCTGAAATGTTAACTGTATCATGCTTTCATTAAGGATATCTTGACATTACATCTGAAAACTCATTTGATTTTACTCTCCCCTCCCCCCATTGGCTTCAAAACATTAATTGCAGAGTATATTAGCAATTAATGAATGTGAAAGGACATTAATTATGATCCAGAGTGAAGATACAGGATTTGTCCTCTACAGTGTTAGGTGTTACACATTTTTTTCCTCCGAAATGTCTTAAAATGCATTTTGGTTACCATTTGCTTCAAATTCTCATCCCCAAATTCATGTAGATATTCACATTTTTGGCTCAAGAACCCAACTTCAAATGTAAAGAAAATGGCCTAAATAATGTCCTTACTGTGTTTACCTTAGCTGGCTAAGTCAACTGAGAATAGCTCAGATCTGTCCCTGCATCTCCCGTGAAACTCAATACAAGCTTGTGGTGGGTGGGAGGAAAGAGAGTACATAGCTGTCTTTCTGGTACTTCTGTGTAAGAGTTTCTGTTCCCAGACAAAACTGAAAAGGTCAGAGAAGTGTAAAAAACCAAAGTGGTCAGCTTAACTTTTTCAGAATCTCAGCTGTTCTGGCAAAGGTTAGAGCAGTTTCTGGTTTATTTGAACCATTTCACACATTCTTGGTGATATTTCCTGATTTATCAGAGGGAATATCAGTTTGTATGCTTCCAAAAAAACCCCTACACCTGTGTAAAAACATTGAAATCATTCTGCTTTGATTCGAAAGGTTGCAGTGAATTCCACTGCTTTTTATGACTGTTATTTAAGAGTTAATATGGATTTTACTCTTTAAAACTTCAAAACTTCAAGTGCCAGATGTTACCATCACTGGTTGTTGAATGTCATCAACATGATCACAAAACAAACCGAAGTATTTGTGTTTCTGCTCCATAAAAATATTAGTTTTAATGTAATTTTAAGATGCTTCATTCTGCATTTCTCTAAATCCTACTGCAAATACAGTTAAATTGAAGTGTTAGTAGGAATTCTGTTGCAGCCTGGTCTTATTAGTAGCCACTTCTGAGTCACATATGATGAACTGATCCCCTCAGATAGAGCTTACTTAGTTTATAATAAGTAATTGAAAATCACAACACAGAAAATGTTGGGACATTTAGCTCTTTTCAATTTTATTTATTGCTTTTCATGGTGCAAACTGATTGCAGACAGTCTGTATAGCCCACTTTATTTACACAGAAAAACAAGAAAGGAAAAAAAATCCCACAAGGAAGAGGGAAAGGTAAGAAAGGAAGCGGAAGCACTGACCTTGTATCCCATTACGTCAGATTCATTAGCTAGAGGTCTGACTGGCTCCCACCCAAGAGACACATGAGAGCCATCCTGTATCCATATAATATTGCTTGGTGCTTGGCTGGGAGCTAGGGAGAAAAAAATAACATGTACATAAATGTAATTTAGAGATTGTTTCTTTAAAATAAAAATAAATGTATTTCAATCTTTCATGACATTTACAACTTGTGTTAGCAAACTCCCAAATCTGGCTGAAATTTTTAAAGATTTTTTTTTTTTTTTTTCACCAGAATTGTCATTTAATAGGTTGCAGTCTATTTACTCAGCCCACCCCATAAGCTCCACTGAGCTTCTGAACTTGAACTATTTTCTCTCTGTTCTTTGTCAAAAATGCCTTCTTTTCTATGAAGATAACCTTTGTTATGAATGCAAAGTCCAAAGAATTAATGTCTAAATATCAAAGCAAAGCCATGAATCAAAACCATACATGATCCCTGATTATTATACACTCTTATTAAAGGAAAGCCCAAGAGGGCAGAGGTTGCTCTCTGACTTCTCCCTTTGAGTAAAGGCACTAAGATCACTTACGGGACTTCTTGGTTGCTGCACGCACAGTTGTGCTAGGTGGTCCATACCCTGCAGCGTTGTACGCCCTCACCGTTAGGTGATATAATGTGTTTCCTTCTAATCCTGTCAGGAGGATGGATGACTCGTTTCCCTCAGTTTTGACCTTTTCTGCTGCTTCTTCCTGCTCCATGTCCTTCCAGTAATCAACCTGCCAACAAGCAACCAAATGAAAGATTAATATAGGCATCTGGGAAGCTTGTGCTTCCAGATGCTCATACTTGTTATCCTGTGGAAGGTCTTTTTACCGTTTCTGCCTTTTGTCCTATAGTCAGGCCCTTTAAACACATGGGATTTGCAGCCTAACCTTAAAGCCAAGCAATGCTTCCTTCTCTAAATGGCAAGACTAGAACATCAGCTGAAGGTATTACCTGAAGCACATTGAATTGCTGTATACCGGCATGAGAAGTAACTACAAGATAGAAGAGCAGAGGATGAAATTGTCAGGGAGTCAGAAGTATTTCAGAGAATTAAAGGAGAGCTCATCATCACCAGAGTATCAGCCTTCACCCTGGAAAGCTCTGACCACATCAGTTAAGAAGTGTTGTGAGCAATGTTCCCCTCCTGGCCCTGTGCAACTCAGAGCCATGAGATTTCTTATCAGCGTAATGAATAGGAAATGACAGAATAGCGAAAGAAATCTTTCATTCATCTGGAAAATCTGATTTGAAGGAGAAAAAGGGAGTGGATTCAGTTTTTATTCTTGGATAGAAAGGTAAATGAAATTTTGATTGCATTTACTTTCTGGTAAATGAAATTTTGGTAACATGTGTAAGCCCTTCCTTTTCAGACATAAAATCCCTAAATGATCTTTGGTGGTTCTTAGTCCATGTTTCTGGTATCTGCACTGAGTTTATCATAATCTCAAAGAGGTTATAGAGCTGAGCTAAGAATTTGACTACTCTCTTTCCTCAGGGACCAAGGCATAACTGGAAAAAAGCAGTACTGTCTCTTTTTAATTTATCTACGTGACCTACACAAGTAAGGTAATTCTTGTGGGGCTCTATTTTCCCTAACAGGAGATGTCACTAATGCGCCATTCGAAGACCTGTATTCAGCTTACTGTTATTCATGCTGAGATCTGCTTGCATTTATTCCACATTTTGACCTTTTCTGTGAAGTTGGTTATTTCATAATAAGTTATTCATATTATATCTGGATAATTTTTCCTCTGAGAAAAAGGTCGTGGACAATACAGCACTCTTGTGAACGTATCCCAGAAAATGGCGAACTAAAAAAACCAAGAAAAATCTAGAAAGACCTAGCTGCAAAAATATGCATTTGAGGTCATATCTTCACTTGAGTAAAGTGTCTCTGTTAACTTTGAACAATGGTGTATCAGTTTGTGCCAACTCAGTCTACTCTTTCAGTTGTAAAATTTGTATAAATGTCTTTTTTTATGTGCCTGCATTATCTTGTGTTAAAATGCTGTTTTAATTCTTAAGTTAATTGCAGCTCAGATAGCAAAGCTAGCTGTGGTCACCACTTGTTGTTGAAATAAGTGTGATTCACTGAGGTATTTTGCTAACTGAATGCTTGACCAACCCTATTGATATCTGAAGTAACATCTAGTCACATCTTTCCTGGAAGGAAAAAAGATTCAACAACCGTTCATTCACACACTAGGATTGAAGCTCCAATGCTTATTATCTTTGGGCAGTCATATTGCTTTAATTTTACTTGCAATGCATCTTTAGAAACTTGACACTACGGTGAGGAATGCAGATAGTATTAAGCACTGTACGAACAGGTAGTGAGAGACAGCACGTGTCCTGGAGACCCTATCATCCAGTTAGTGAAGTCTGCTGAGCCTCTAACAGGGAAATGGTCAGAAAGGAAAAGTGATTTGCTCAAGGTTACACAGGTGGACAGTAGCACGGGTGGAAATGCAACTGAAGTAGTGAAATCCTGGTTTTAGAAAGCCAGGAGCAAAAGTATAAGTAGCTCAATATGTCTCATTGTTTATTCACAGGGCACACAATGTGTTGTGTGCATGCAATGTACAAGCTTTTGCACTGAAGCTTTTTTTTTAGTATAAAGAGGTTGTGAAAACCTGATTTTCCAAATATTTGTGTTAGGACTACTCAGCTCTTTTGATATTTTTCAGGTGTTTGGAATTGCTCTCCACCACTGCTTATATGGCATTATCAGTTTGGATACTAATTATATGTTGCACATGTTAAGATTGCAAAAATAACCATGGCAAGTTCCTTATCAGTTCTGCTGCACCACATGGCAAAGGTGTTTCACCTTGTCAAAGCTGTATTCTTGGGAGAATGAATATACTATATTAAGCACCAAAAGCATGAAATACAATTTGGCAATGCTTCTTTTTCAGATTCTCCTGTATTTCAAAGCCCTTAAGTGTTTGGTCCCTGCTTTTAAAATTCCCCTTGAAGTTTTGGCATGTGAGTTTGGACTTCGCACTCAAAATATGCTTTTCTCTTTCTTTTGTAACACGCACATCCATTTGTTGATGGTCAAATGAACTAAAGGAAAAAGGGATTATAAAAAAGAGAAGTCCAATGATTGTTGACCGAGGTCGATGATGAGGGAACTTACATTGGTTTGAACCAAAATGAAGATACTGCTGATGTTTTGTTTACAAGTGCTGGACATATTTCTTAGAACATAGGGTTTGTTTGTTCATACTTCTATGGATTTGGGTCTTTTAAAAAATCTTGTTATTTTCTGTAACCTTAATTTATACTGCTCGGAAGGGATTTATCACACTTGGAATAGATTTTCATTAATGTTAACTTCGAATATTGATATAGCATGAAGCATAAATCACAAAAGTGAAGCCCATATTTGAAAAATGAAAGAAAAAAAAGGGGGGGGGGGCGGGAAGCATTTGGTCTGTTTAATACATTATTGTTTGTGAGGTTTGAAATTTTTGCTGCTCTTTATGTTGTTTTTCATTTAGACAAAGAACAGAAAGCTTTGATATCTGATTCCCAGAAACTCATATCTTTGAGCTGGAGAGAAAGCAATAATGATATTTAAACAGCTGAATAGAGGAGATGCAGGAACATGCAACCTCCTTTGTCCTGATCTTGTGTTAAGTAATCATCAAAAGTAAATCATCACACTAAAATTTTTTTCCGTCTAAAATTTTTCCACCTTTTGTACTTACAGGCCACTCTTTTTTCCCAAATTGGTTTCTAGGGTGTGCATACATAAAAATTAATCTGATCTAATTGCAGGCCCTCTTCTCTAAATTCAGTAAAGTCAGAGTTATTGTGTGGGTACTCTTTCTGTTGACCACAGAGAAATAAAGCTACAAATTAGGCATATCAAGTAAGACCCTAGATTAGGTAGGATGAATTGAAGGGGGCAAAACATACAAATGTTTCTGGGCTCTCTGATTGAGTATTTACCAAGAACAACAGTACCAACACAGCTGGAAATGAACTCGAAGAGATCTCAGAGTACAGAAAGTGCTAGGGGAGAAAGAGCAGTGAGCTGAAAGAACTGCTGGTAGCCCCGAAAAAAAAAGAGCATGGTTCAGATTTCACAAAACTATTTTAAATACCATTATCAGAAAATCTATCAATGCCTTGAACTGGCACATGGAAGTAATGAAAATTTTAGTGCAACACTTAGGGCAGGAGAAGAAGTGCTTTTTGTATCATCTCAAGACATTGGTGTGACTGTCCTTCAGAACAAGATGAGAGGTTCCTGCAAGAAGGTCAATTAACCTCAGTTCCTTCCCTATCACCAAAACAGTTGCTGACTGAATAGAAGAAAGAAAACACTGTTCAGTACTTCTAGGTTGTGTGGTCTTCTCTGGAGTAGCTTGCATTCTCCACCTCTTTCCTCAGGTACTCTCTTCTCCCATATAGTCATGTACACACATGGGATGGAAACTGATATTGTACCTCAACCTTGAGGACTATCATCAAATATCTAGTCCTATTTTCTTATGAAAAATCAATAATTATGCAGGTTTGTGATTTTAAGTAATAGAAAGCCTGTAGTCTTGTAACAAGCTATTAATGATACAGACATTGCAAAAGGTATGGCTATCTTGAGGGCCTCATGAGAGATCTAGGTTGTCGTCCATACCTTACCGACTTGAAAAACAGTAGGACTGCTTTGCTATAAACTCCTGCTCATAGTCTCCAGGTTTTTAGAGGGATTTGAATTAGCATATGAGTAACTTTGTAGGCAAAATTGACTCATATATCAAACTATTCAATTGCTAATTTTGTGCTTGGCAAAATTAATTCCAAAAGTGGAAAACATCAGTTCTTTTCTCCGTCTTGCTTTAACAGCTTCTGTTAGAAACATCTATACATTCTTTCTAAATTACTTCAAGGTATACTCCACTAAATTAAAAAAAGTAAAATTCCAATACCATGTAGACATAATTTTCTGTTCCACTGTAAAAACAGATAAAGTACATCTAGGAAATAGCAAAAACTTGAATATTTCTCTTTCAAAAGCCAAAATATGGTATAACCAAGTTATTATGTCAGGTAATCTTCTCTGAAAATGGCATTTGAGATTTTCTACTTTTTATAGTTTTTTGTTGCAAGTTGATCTTTTGATTAGGTTAGTCAAGCTCCTATCTCTTAGGGGAATTCCAATGAAAAAGACATGAGCTTTGTGATCTATACTTAAGTATTAGCCTTGGTTTTCTGGAAAAGAAGAAAGAAAACAAAAATATCTTTTCTTCCAGCCAGTAATTCTTTCT